CATGCTACCCCGCTAGAGTTCCTTTTGTATAAGTTACTCGAAGGATGCTGAATTCAATGTTACTTTTACTATAAATATCCATGCCAGGAGAAAAACAAACCAAATTATTTTTGCTCTGAATTGTTACACTAAATGTTAAAAATTAAGTAAATTCATTTTGAACTTGTTCTTTTGCATAATTGTGGATTCCCATTAAGTAGCCTGCTATATTTTCTGTGAAACCATCAGAGCATGCTGTAGAGAAATTTATTTTTACTGCTTTCTGCAATTATTTTTATAAAAAAAGATTAAAGTAGATTCTATTTAAATTCCTTTTAAATTATTAATGTTAAAACTACAATGGTGTTACTAAGAGTATTGTCAAAAAACCTTTCAAGAAACATTTGGAAATTCTACAGTCTGTAACTCTTGGCTGTGACATCCATACTAGCAGAGGAGCTAAAACCATTGTTTGTGCTCTGAACCACTCATTTACAGTAAAATACCACCTCCTCTGATCCATTAATCAGTATTCACAACAGGAAAGATACCAAATTGTTACTATAAACGAATAAAATAAACTCCCAACACCATTTGAAATGTCAATAATTTGAAAATTGTAATTATGTTATGAAAATTATAGACTAAAAAGAACAACACTGAGAACATTTTTTATTTATTAATAGAGACTGAAGAACACATTATACAAACCCGCTGGCCAGCAGAAACCTCCAACGTACAGACGCACCCCACACCAGCATGGTCAGACACCTCAGCAGAATGCAGAACAGGCTCCACCTGAAAATAAATGACAAAAAACATATTAAGCTGATTTTGCACAAAATCAACAAAGGTACTATGTCAAATGTTTTCAATAAACACATTATTAATTAGAGATTTAACGTTAATGTGAAAAACACTAACGGTGTCTTCAGGCGGCACACATTCAACACCCCTGGCAGGAATCACACGCGCTGGAACTGAAGCCTAAAGGAAAAATCAAAAAGAACAGTTAAATAAATAAAAAAAATCTGTACTAGAAATGATTAATTAACTCATGTTTTTACAAACCTCCCGTGCCAAACGGCTTCTCTTTGGGAGAGCTGGTTTCTTTTTATGTTCCACAGGCTTTGTCTGCAACACCGCAAACAACATTGAGGGTTTGTGTTATTTATAAATAAAAATACTAAGAATATTAGTAATTGCAGTATTGTGCTAATTACATCGGTGCCTGTGCGAACATCTGGAAGAGCCGATGGAGAGACTGTTTCCATGGCAACCAAGATAGCGGGTGAGAAACGGACAGGATTTAATGGGATGAAACATTCCCTTAAAGCCACAGGGGTCCCATCGCTCTATAAATGCAAAATTTGAATTATTAAGATACCAGTGACATTGACTATTATATTTCATGAATAGCTGCAAGCCTTACGGACCTGGTAATGAACCACTCTTTTCTTGGGTGAATCAGAGACAGAGTCCAATTCCCCCGAGTGATTCCTCTGTAAAGGTAGAGCACATATAAGAGTTTTTAGGATTACTAGCCATAGTTAAATAAACGCCTTTCTTTCATTGCAAGACAACAAAAGATAAATACCTTCCTGCCGTATCTCACGATTGTCCACTCAGAAGGGTGTGGAGCAGGAGGAGAACGAGGAAGACTCCCCACGCCCTTCACAACCACACGGGGCACCACCCTCGGTTTGTACGCAGGAGTTGCCTGACTCTGCACCAGTGGCTTTGGTGCTGACAACTCCAGGAACTGATAGCCAGCATTCCAAATCAGATCCCTGAGGATGTGCATCCCGTGGTCATCGCTTAGGTGGATCTGCACATATAAGCGGTAATCAGAGATAAAATTAACATTTCACATTAATGCAAATATATTCCTTACTGTGTTAAAAATGAATAAATACTCACGCCATCACGGCACCACAGACTCAGACGGTCCAGAGGAAAGTGGTCAGCGGTGGAATAATAAGGAATTCCTGAAAAGATAATGACAAAATAAAAAGAAAACGTTGCAAAGACCAAATCAGCAAAGATAACATAAAAAGAACTGAAATACATTACCAAACAAAAACAAAATGTGAAATATTTTAATACCTACCTAGCTTTGCTGACCTGCGGTGAAATTCTTGCTGGTAGAATAACTGTTTCTCTCTGGACTCGGTTAAACGCGGGACAAAGCCGATACAAAAGACCTAGAAAAAATAACCGATTTAGAAATATATATTCCAAACACCTAGGAAAATAATAACCTGTTAAGGAATTGATTTTTATATCACTGTTTCTATATTGAAGTCGTCAAAGACTATTACTCTGCATGCTTCAGTAGCAGAAGAGAAAATTCTAAAACATGCTGACCAGTGGTATCTGTGAACTGGTATTGAGAAACACTGATTTTTTATCACCAACAGTGCCCACCTTAGGCCAACGACTACAGACGGCCAAAAGGAACCGCTCAAATTCCTGTCCCGCCTTTTCTGGTGTAAGACTGGCCGTAAGGTCGTTTGAAGGACCCATGACGCAGACGGCGTCAGGCTCCCGAGGCACATTGGCTTTCATTGCCTCAAGATGCAAGTCGGCTGCGCAGGCTCCAGGGGTGGACATAAAGCCGAACTGTAGGCAGCCACTTGGCATCTCAACAATGCCGTCCACGAAGGACCGCAAATGGGACGCTCCGATGAGAAGGATAAACTAAAATAGTACAAACACAGCAACATAAGAACTATACCTACATATTCTATTTGAAATCATTGCAGATTTTACTTACTTTCTTATCAGGATACGCCCGTGGGATGACCAGCTTGTGACAGTGGTTAGTCACTACACTCGCTGGCCATGGCTTCACGGAATGACGCCAGCCGGTACCACGCCCTATTAAGAAACAAAAAGAAAGAAGATATAAGAATTATTTCAATAATACATTAAATATGTACTCTGGATACTTAATCTGACATAGAATTAAGACATTCAAATTAAAATATAATTAAATTAAACACTGACGTGAAACAAAATCGCTGGAGGCATTGGGTATCCCTACACGACCAATTCCAACTGCTTCCACCCTTCTCTTAGCAGCTTCGGATCGGCGGTGGGACTTTCCTCGAGGCATCTACATTTAAAGATGAAATAATTAAGTGACATGAATATTTATTGATAATTATACCAATATGAATATCATAGTGTATCACAAAAGGGAGTATACCCTTCAAATTTCTGCAAATATTTAAATACACCATTTCATGGGAAAACACTAACAACATTAAACTTTGACTAAATGAAAAAACTTTGACAAAATGTGCATATATATATATATATATATATATATATATACACACATACATACATATATACATACATACATATGTACAGACACAAGAACACACACACAAACACCACTGAAGCTGAAGACAGTTTCTAATTCCAGCTTCTGATTCAGGAAATGGCTAAAGGGTGATTCCAAACTATTTTTCAATACCTTCCACAACATTAATCTACTCTAGTTAAAAAACTACAACACTGAAAGACTTCAAACTTGGACTGGAGTATTATCAACTAGGAGCTGAATAAAGAATCTTTAAGATCTGTGAAAGTTTTTGGATTAGTGAAACTTACATAATGGACTATTTTCCCCTTTTTTCTCTCCCAGTTAAACTAGAATTGCTCTAAGTCCAAAACTACAAGTCGTACACTCTTCAAACCTGGATTGGATTATTCTCAACTAATAGAATATTTAAAGCTGTGTTTAGGATTTGTGAAACCTTTTTATGATTTGTGAAACTTCATTAAAGTGCCATTTTTATACTTTTTTGCATCTAGCTCATATTAGAACTGCTTTACTTACAAAACCACAAGACTTAAAGTCTTACAACAAGGACTAGATTATTCTCCTCTAATAGCAAAATATTTAATGCATGTTTAGGATTTGTGAAACCATTACTTGATTTGTGAAACTTCACTAAAGTTCATATTACCATTCATACTTGTGTTTCCATGCAGTTTTTTCTAATCCAAATTCTATTAAAATTCAAAACTATTTTATTAATCTCTGAGGTAAATTATTACCTGAGGTAGCTCATTAAGGCATTACTTTTTTTTCAGGAAACTTAAATATATGGTTCCGTCCTCATAACTCTGGTAAATAAAAAGTAAATGTTACTAAGTCCTCAGGACTTATTGTTGATGAGAGGATTAAAGAAATTTAAAGATTTGCTGGTAAAACAAGACCTACAAGACCTAGACGCTTCAAACTTGAACTAAATTATTCTGCTCTAATAGTAGAATATTTAGAATCATGTTTGTAATTTGTGAAACCTTTTTATGATTTGTGAAACTTCACTTAACAGACCCCTGCA